GCCTCTACCCCCTGATACTGCTGTCTGACGTGGATGGCAAGACTGCAGCATTCAGCATGTCATACCGCTGAGCCAGGGCTGTTTGTCAGGTGTGCTGTCTGTGCTGGCCCTGGCTGGCCTGCCTATTTCTCTAGAACCTGCCGTTGGCTTCTCGGGTTGACATTTTGTGCTGCTTTGTTTTTATAGCCATTACGGCTTAAGGAGCAAGATTTACAAGCCAATCTCGCAGAGCATGTGGCTGCTTTTTACTTGCACGACTCACAGGTGCTTTGCTGCCGTGCAGAGTTACTGGGAGTTGCTGCTGTTTTGCTAAAACGTGTCGTTCTTTCTCCTCTTATTCTAGAGTGCAGGCTGTCTGGATACTGGAAGACGCCTCCAAATCACTTAGATTCTATGCCTGTCATTACCCCTCCATTCCCATTTAAGAGTGAACAAATTGTTCAGGAGGAAGACCCTTGGTTAGAACAATTGACGCACTAGTTCATTATCTGGGTCTATCGAGGACCAGGCATTTGAAAATGATTATCCCTTCCTCCATGCTCCTCTCAGCATCGGGGCAAGGTGACAGGTGCTGTGGTAGATGTGGTTGAGTCGGAGTAGAAGACTCACCTCTTGAACCAGAAAGGCCCTTCAGTCATAATGGATGAACACTTTTTTATTCCTGGACTTCTTTGCTTTTGATCATCAAAAGTGGCAGATCTTCCTGAACCTGGTTACTTGACCACTCATGATGGACGACAGAATTAGGTGAAAAAGAAAGGAAGAAAGAGGAGAAAAGAAACCAAAGCGGTTGTCACTGAGTTGACTTGACTCGTGGAAACAGCTATTCGGTTATTAGAGGTTTGATACTTGCGGTCTGCACTTTACATATTGTTCGTTGGATAACTGCAAACTTCACTGCAAATGTTTGGTTTTCAGGCTGGTTGGAAGGAAAACCATGCAACATTCATGAGTGAACTGAGACATCTTCAGGCTTCTGGACTAACGACTCTCGGTCAAGCTCTGAGATCCTCATTCGATTTGTTAAATCTCAATAGATTAATTTCTGGAATAGACAATTATGGACAGGTAAAACTTTTGTTTTCTTTGAGTGAGTACATCATTTGTTTTGATGGCTTGGGGTAAAAATTTAAAATGGGCCTGGTTACCAAGTTTGTTTGTTTGTTTTACTTTTCAAAAGCTGCAAAAGGAGGTTCATTTACTTTTTGAATGCAAATTTTAAAATTAGTCCTCTTTGGGGGTGTTGTATACAACTGGATTATAAGATGCCTATCTTCATCTATCTGAAAATGGGACAAATAGATTGCTGAGAAATATTGAAGCAAGACAATGGAAGAAAAACTTTCCATGTCTTTCCATGTGGGTCGCGAACCCTTTCGGGGTCAAATGACCCTTTTACAGGGGTCGCCCGATTCATAGCAGTAGCAAAATGACAGTGATGAAGTAGCAACGAAACTAATTTGATGGTTGAGGGTCGCCACAACAGGAGGAACTGTATGAAAGGGTCGCGGCCTTAGGAAGGTTGAGAAGCACTGCTCTGGAATAAGAGGAAGGCAGAAGAGCATTTGCTGCTGTGACTGCTGTTGCCTTTTCCCACTCTGCAAACTGGTCACGGTAACAAGATTCACGTCAGATCATAGGGCATACACCACTAAAATCACCTGTCTGTGTCAGAATTTCAACTTAGATGAATGATCCATTTGTGCCCCCCCCTTGTATTTCTATTTTCATTTCAAAACTGAATTTTGAGACAATTTCAGCCTAAAAACTTTATAAAAAATAATACAAAGAGTCCCCGTATAAACTTCACTGAGATTTTTATGTGGCTGTCACTGCCACCATCATCTCTTGGACCTCATTCGTTGCTGGTTACTTAGAAATCAGAGTGGGGTGGGCATTGATTTGAATATTAGACAGTAAACCTGTGGAAACCAGAATCTCCGGAAGTGGGGGAAACCTGCCAGAGAAGGAACACGCAAACATTTCCCACTACAAGGAGCGAGAAGAGGGAACACTTGGGCAACGTGGGGAAAGTGCTGTTACATTCTGTTAGGAGATTGCAACATGAAGCAAAATGTGTATACGTGGCTGATTGGAACACTAATTTGCTCTGTAAACTTTCACCCAAATTGCAATGAAATGTGCTTTTTAAATAAAATTTAATGATATTCAAGTGATAAGACTGCACCCCGTCAAAGATGGAAGGCATAGGCAATGTGGAAGAACCAGGCAGCCCTGTTGAATTCCAGCTCTTAGATTCAATGTCGTCTGGGGAATCGCTCCGTTCATATGGAAAGTCGCCTCTTCAGGAATTGTCCCTTTGATGCCCACTCACTTCTGTCTCTAGCAGACCCCTGATGGTGTGCTGGGTTATTCGTTGGGCTGCTAGCCTCAAGATCAGCAGTTCAAAGCCACCAGCCGCTCCACTGGAGAAAGATGAGGCTTTCCACTCCCAGGAAGAGTCACAGTATCAAAAGCCCACAGGGGTAGTAGCTGTACTCTGTCCTGCAGGGTCACTTTGAGTCGGAATGGACTCAGTGGCAGTGAGTTCCAGTTCCTAATATTTTCCTTCTGGTTCATCGAGGCAAAACTAAGTATTTATCAAAATATTTGAGATTACTACCAAGGAAAATGTCAACTTTGTATTGCTTTACAGCACTCTAATACCTTTTCCATGTATTTTAGGGTCGAAATCCATTTTTTTTAGAACCATCTATGTTAATAACTATCACAGATGGAAATAAGTTAACAAGTACCGCTGGTGTTCAAGAAGAGGTAAGATGAATTTATACATGCATATATATCTATCTATATAATTTCATTTAAATGGCAGGGAATATCCTTTTTTTTTTCCTCCCCTGTGGGAGGCATCTCGTATTTCTGGTTTAAAATAAGTTTTATCAAGTCTTCAATCTTGGTAATCCATGAAGGATTGCTTCATTTGATTGCATTACATGAAAGAAAAGCAAACCCTTTAACTCTGTCTTCATTTGGGTTTGGGCTGTTAAACTGAACCATCTCGATATTTGCTTTCTCAGCTTTATCTTCCCTTGAATTCTCCTCTGCCCGGAAGTGAACTAACCAAAGAACCTTTTCGTTGGGATCAGAGGTTATTTGCCCTGGTCTTGCGTTTGCCTGGAGTGGCTTCTACTGAACCAGAGCAGCTAGGGAGTGTGCCCACGGATGAGTGTGCCATCACACAGATGTGTGAAGTCACAGGAGGTAATGGTGATATGGAATATTTCTGAGAGAAAGAAGTCAGGGGGAGAGGATGTCATTGGTGTTAGTTGCTGTAGTCAGCTCCTACTCACGCCACCCATATATATGTCTAATAGAATGAAACGGGGCCCAGTTCTGTGCCTTCCCCATGATTGTTGGTGTTTGAATCCATAGCTACTACTTTACACCCTGGTAACTTTGGGGAGGGGCAGTTTGAACCCACCAGAAGCTCCATGGGTGAAGATCTGGCAATCTGTGGGTTGCTAGCAATTGAAATGGACTTGATGCTCCCCAGCAGCAAAAGCAACACTGGATACAATGTAGCTTGGGCGAGAAATCCCCTAGTTTTCATTCAACGTGCCAAGTCTCATCATATTTTCCTTCAAAATAGTTATCAGGGATTTAGTTGAAGTCTGCTGTTTAAGCTCATCATGGTGTACGTAAAGTCCTCTGCCGATGGAACAAGGATCGTTCCAAGTCAGATTTTAAGATTTCAACTGCTGCTATAATTTGATAATATTTTATTCGATCAAACTTTTATGATTGGTTTTCCTTCCTGGTATAGGCCGCTCCTATTGTGTCAGAACGCAAAGAATGCTGAATCAATGTTTAGAATCTTTAGTTCAGAAAGTTCAGAGTGGTGTCGTCATTAACTTTGAGAAAACAGGACCAGATCCACTTCCTGTTGGTGAAGGTACAGTAGATATTTATTTGATTTCATTTCCCCCCCTAAAGTACGACATAAGCAAAATGGGCAGTGTTCACTATCCACATGTATTTGGGTAATTGTAAATATTCACCTAAAAACACCTGTCATGAAAATAAGAATAATAATAGCAATAATAAATATGGTCAACAACAAACGGCTGTCATTCAACCATTGCCTTTGTCTATAGGCTGGTGGCTGAATCCTCATCACTTGAATTTCATGTTGAGTCTTTCTAAGAAAATTCTCTTCTTTTCCCTGGTCCACATTTGGGGATGACACTGAGCCATTCTAGTTAGAAACTGTGTGGAGCTTGACCATGAACGAGCGGTTGGGGGTTGGGCCCTGTGAGTGCCAAAGGTGCAAACCTGTCTGTGTTCAGTTTTTGCATGGCTGCAGGAGTTTATGTTTCTCCAAGAACTGCGAGTATTCTATCAGCTCATATGCTAGAACTTTTCAGGCTATTTTTTCTTTTTCTTTTTTTAAAATCATTTTATTAGGGGCTCATACAACTCTTATCACAATCCATACGTACATCAATTGTATAAAGCGCATTTGTACATTCATTGCCCTCATCATTCTCAAAACATTTGCTCTCCATTTAAACCCCCAGCATTAGGTCCTTATTTTTCCCCTCCCTCCCCGCTCCCCCGTCCCTCGTGAGCCCTTGATAATTTATAAATTATTATTTTGTCATATCTTGCCCTGTCCGACGTCTCCCTTCACCCACTTTTCGGCTGTCCATCCCCCAGGAAGAAGGTCACATATAGTTCCTTGTAATTGGTTCCCTCTTTCCAACCCACTCTCCCTCTACCCTCCCGGTATCGCCACTCACACCACTGGTCCTGTAGGGATCATCCGTCCTGGATTCCCTGTGTTTCCAGTTCCTATCTGTACCAGTGTACCTCCTCTGGTCTAGCCAGACAAAGATCCTTCGATAGCTCAGTTGGGAGAGTGGAGGACTGACTGTCGAGGCTATTATTTCATTGCAGAATCAATCGCTCGCGCTTGCTCGCTTTCTTTTTTCTAAATCAGATTTTACAGAAAGCTCAACATATAAAAATAGATAAAAGCTGAGGTGCTTTTGGAATCCCTGGGTATTACAAACACTGACACGCTACCCAGACATTCCTCAGAGGAAAGGCTTGGCGAACTAATTCTGAAATAGCATATTTTCAACATTCCATCTACCTTTAAATTTTAATTTGGGTAACTTTCATTTTTGCTTTTGTCATCACTGGGTCTAACAGTTTATTAAGGGAAACTCCCACCCCCATAATTGAGATTCAAACATTATGTAAATGGAATTTGTGATGTATTTTTGTTGGTTTCCAAAATGAACAATGTCACTTGCTTAATTTGGTCATTGAATTCTGGAAAAATAACTATCGTGTTCTGGTGTGTTTAATCTAGGAACCTAAGCCATAGAAAATGTCAAACCAACCACATGATAGCTTTCCTCATCCCTGCAGATTCTGATGGTGGGTGGACAATACAGTATGGGAGCGGTTGAGAGGTTGAGGCTTGGATTGGGAACGAATGGAGGTAAAAGAGCTGCTAGGAACAACCTGCAGAAATCCCAGTAGAGTTGCTTTTTTTAACTGTTCTTCCTCCGTTTTCAGCAATCGGCATTTCTGTTTTGTTTGGTACTTGGTTTTGAGCTGAAAATATTTTACAAGAAGGTCAGCAGCTGTAAGCAGCCACCGGGCCTTCATCTGTCTGTCGTGTGTTTAACTTTCAGATGGATTTCCGGATACATCGAGGCCAGGCAATCCCTGTGCTGCTCAGCCCTGGCACAGTTGTCATAAGCTCATTTACGTACGACCCAATTCTAAAACCGGCGTTCCTGTTGGACACTGGCCAATTCCAGAAGCGTTTTGGCCAGATCAGAATTTACCTTCACTAGTAAGTGTCCTAAAGCAAAAGGTAAACATCATTCTGTATGTCTTGCCGATTACATCAATTTGCTGATCACAGTGAACGTCTTAGCAAAACGTCGAGGCTTCTAAGACGTGCCACAGGCATGGCCGTCTTTCCTTTGCCTTCTGTCGCTTGCTGAAAGTCTCAGCACATGTGTAATAACAAGAAAGGCCTTCCCTCTCTCTTCTGGTACTTTTCAGTCTTGTTTTCCGTCACTTGAATTGCCTGCTTTGGACGTTCTACTTGAGGCTCTTGTAATCTCTGACTTGGTTCTGACAGAGCAGCTAACTTGATTGACATGGCAAACACAGTGTCGTCATAGTCCTGGTAATGATTAGCATGCTCAGCCTCTCAAATCCAAGATGTGGCTTTCTACCACGTATAGCTTCTCAGAACACACACAGTGCTGAAGTCATTCTACTTCATGGTGGGGAGTCACCTTCCTGAAACAATGATTAAAACTCTGTGGGCCAATGATTCTTCTTTTTGTAGCCAACGAACAATGACCAAACAGCATGCAGGTGCACTAGGGGAACAGTGCCAATAGGGAGATCCCCACACCTTGGAGTATCAGCCATTTGAAATCCCAAGGGCAACATTTCCCCAAGGACAAAACTCAGAAGGGTCAGGCAAGAAGGAGGAGTGGACACAAGAAGCACAGGGATCAGGTGTGGTGAGTGATGTTACATGGAAGGGATTGTAAATCATGAACGGAAACAGTGCAAATGAATTAGTCAATGGACAAGTGATTTGCTCTGTAAACCATCACTCAACTCACAATAAACTTTTTTTTTAATGTCCCTAAGCAAGGACTTAAGGAACTCTGATGGCTCAATGGTTAAGCTCCTCAGCTCTTAACCCGCAGAAAGGGGGAGCAGTCTGCTTCCTGAAAGATGACAGCCTCAGAAGCCCTGTGGGGCAGGCAGCTCTTCTCTGTCCCACAGAGTCCAAGTCGGCAGGCCAGCACATACCCTGTTTCCCCGAAAGTAGGACATCCCCCGAAAATAAGACCTATTTACAGTTTTGCCTCTCAGTGAAATATAAGGCATCCACCGAAAATAAGACCTCCCCAATAATAAGGATATCAACAATAAATGTTGATATTCTTCTTCATGGAAAAATAAGACATCCCTAAAAATAAGACCAACTGCTTCTTTGGGAGCAAAATTTAATATAAGACACTGTCTTATTTTGGGGGAAGCAGGGTAGCAACAGCAAGAAAGCAGACTTGTCTTTTTTTTCTGCACTGTGTTTTCTGGAAGAAGATTTGATGTTACGGTTGCTCCTAGGACACCGATGCATCGCTTTTCCCTCTGGTGGAATGACAGTGTCCAGTGATAAGGGAAGCTGCCTGAAACCCACTCTCTTTTTCACCTTCTGCTGTCCCCCTACCCAATAGGAAAACAACGCCTGAGAAGTAAATAAAAAATTTATCAAAATTTCTCCTGTTTAATGTTTTCTAAGTTGTAGAAATGTCTAACCATAAATTGCACTTTTTCCTGCATTACTGGTGGGGGGGGCGCTTGCCTTCCTTCAGAAGTGGCCATGACAGGCCTAAAAGTATGACTTCCAACCATTTCAACCCTTACTGTGAAGCTAACTCTCCCTTCATTCTCTCCGGGCTGAAAGATGTTACTCCCATCATGTCTCGGTGCCCTGCTATGCTCAGCCCCTTCCACACCTTAAGAAAATGGTTTTGCTGCCCATTTATTTCATTATTGCCAGCAGTGGGGCTTCATTTGTGTCTTTATTGCCTTTTCACATATACAAATCCAGGAAGTCAGAAATATTTCACCACTCAATGAAAACTGAAATCAAGAAAAGCTAGACTAGAAGAAATAAATCCCCAGTCGTAATTCACACAGAGCTCATGTTACCATTCCTTTGCCTTTAAGAGCACATTTGAAGGCTATTCTTCTCAAACCCAAAATATCACGTATGTTTATAAATGATAAAGGTCAATGAGCATACTTTTCCACTTTCTTCAAGAAAACACATTTTAGCAGAGCCAGATTCGCTTTACAGGTATCTTAGCAAGAACAAGCTGGACCACTTCTTACCTTTGTCCCGGGGGCTTGTCCTATCTCCCTACATTGCCCTTGATATCACTCTTTCCCTATATGATGCTCTTTGTGACCATAAAATAAATCTATTAATAAAATTGATTCTCAGTACTGGACTACAGATCTGACTGTTTCCATGAATTGCTCCTTCTTCTGTCATGAGACTGGAAGCACTGGATGGTGCCTTGCTGCTATTACTAAACATTTTGATCAGGAACAAGATAGATGGATCCTGATCAGAAGAGAGGAGAACTTCAAATTCTGAAAGATTCCAGACTTACTGGGCCCACTGAGACCGGAGGAACTGCTAAATCTATTGCTCTGAGATACTCTTTTTTCCCCCTGTTATATTCTAAACCTTCAATCAAAGCTATTTCCTGAAGTCATCTTTCAACTAAAACAAAAAACAAAAACAGAAAAACACCCCAGCTTAGCTTCATTAGAACATACCCATATGCCTTGAATATTGTACTCTTTTAGAATGATTTTATATATATATGTAATTTGGTTTCATATATATATATATATATATATGAAACCAAATTGACCATGGTAGCTAAAGCATAGATAAGGTGTGTAGGGGGCAATGAGTTCAAGCGATTGGTAGCAAATCAATTGGAGTAGACAGTGCAAGATTATTAACAGAGTGAAGAATATAGCCAGTGTCACTTGTGGACATTGTTGAATGAGTGCATGCTCTGTGTATTTTCATACACCACACTCCAAATTAATCAAATAAAACGGCTTCTCCATTCATCTTCTCTAGGACCCCAGGTACACAAGCCTATGCAATCTGGGCCAATGTAGCCCAGCTCCACCTAGGGAATGCATGGGGACGTGAGCCTGCTGTAAACACTAACCTGGGCCCGGGAATCGGTCTCCATGTTGTCCTTTCTGTGCCTTTACTAATTTTCATCTCACTTCTTAGTGATAGAAACTGTGTCATGTCCCCATTATAAAGTTCGACATAGTTCTTCTTTCTCACTAGAGTCTGGACATTGTTCAAAAGGATGGAGGGCAGGCACTTCTGGAAGTTACAAAGTAGAGTTGAACTTCAGGATTCGGCCTGTGGATCATAATAAATCCTTAAATTATAATCAAAGCATGGTTAACCTCATTAAAATCTCATTATGAATGTTATAATATACCTTTTCCTCTTCCCATTACCTAGTGCATGGTGGAGAAGAAAAATCTGAATGTCTTTCCCCATGGGAAACATTGGTGATGCCTAAGGATCTAGTAACCCTCTTTCTGGAAACAATGGGGATTGAAAACAACAGACAAGGGGTTGCAAAATTGTCAGCAAAGGAAGTTCACTTGATAACTGACCCAATTTTTCCTCTTCTCTTTTAGCCTCCACGAACATCTCATCCTGTTGTACGGTTCTCCTGTGTAGATTGTGAGCCAATGGTAATAGATAAACTTCCCTTTGACAAATATGAACTTGAACCTTCACCCTTAACTCAGTACATCTTGGAACGTAAATCTCCTCATACCTGCTGGCAGGTACTTGGGCATACCTTGTAGTCAGGGGACTATAACTACTCTGGGATGTGGGAATTCTTAAAAGAACTTTCAAAGGTTAACTGGAAATAATCTGGCTGAGTCATTTAATAATATTTTTTACAATACCATCAAATAAGAAACAAGGCCATGCAAAGCATTTCAGACTGATAGTGTAGTATACTATACATTTCCATTGAAGGCTGTAGACTATGAGGTAATCTGTGTATTGAAGAGTCTGGGGGAAACATCCCTCTGAAACCTACCAATGGACTCCAGGGTAAGAATCCCTGATTTGAAGGCAGTGGTGGGTCCATGGTAAAATCCTTGTCTTCTGTGCAAGAAAACTGGCTCACTTCAATTTCTGGCCAATACATGACCTGTTAGTGGAGGCTTGTGTCTTGTTGTAACGCTGCACAAGTTTCAGCAGAGCTTCCAGACTAAGATAGACAAGGAAGAAAGGCCTGGCAACCTACTTATGAAAATCAGCCACTGAAATCCCTATGGAACACAAAGGTCTGTTCTACAATCAGGATAGCCTAAGACTGGGCAGCATTTTGTTCTGTTGGCGGCCACCTCAATGGCAGCTAATAACAGCAGCACTAGAATGAAGTCCTATTCAGATATGACTGCTACAGCTGAAGCAAGGTTTTCAGCCCTGAAGATTGAACTTGGCAGATTGGAAAGACAGGATCTTTCTGGCAGAGTCATAAGCCCTGAAGTTAATGTATATATTGGTGTAACATAATAAAATTCTTCTATGAGGCAAATTCACAGAGAGAAACTCACAGGGGCTGTTCTAACCCGGGGCTGTAGGGTCGCTATGAGCATTGAATCAGTGAGGTTCATACATTGAGTCTTCCAAGTGTTAAACTTCAGTTTGCAAGCTGGCTAATCGATTTACTTAGGAATTTTATTTTGTGAAAATCTGGGCACAGTGTTTTTATTTGTATGCACCAAGGAAGTCTTACACAGTGACGATGTCTGTCCTATTTATAAACAACAAAACCATGTAGCAGTCAGTAATCGTTAGTTTTATTTACAAAAGAAACGCTTTCAGACTGCCATCATTTTTATCCCGATGTGTACAGTTATTGCTATTAGTTGTCTTTAGGTTACTTAAGCTCTACCAAAGTGAGAAAACCAGGCTGAGAAACAACAAATGGCTTAAAACAAGGATGTGAAATTGCTAGTATGGGGACTGGGACGGGAATTCCAGAACACTTCGCTGTGTTCATGAGGAGCCTGTTCATGGGCCAAGAGGCGCTTGTTTGAACAGAGCAAGGGATGCTACATGGTTTAAAGTGAGGACATCGGGGTAATAATAGCCTTTCATCATACTGACTCACTCTGAATGCTGAACAACAAACCCGAGAAACTAGACTTTACGAAGGAGAATGTGGCATCAGCATCGGAGGAAGGCTTATGAGCAACCCATGGGATGCGGTTGACACCCCTAGCTTGCTGACAGTGAGGAGGCCTTGAAGCACTTTCTGAGGAAGAGCCAAGACCATATAGCCTCCAATATGGATTATACCTCAATTTAGGAAAATAAAAATCCTCACCACTGGATCAAATAAACAATGCCAGTATAAATGGAGGAAAGATTGACGTTGTCAAGGATTTCATCTTACTTGGATCCACAATGAACTTTCGTGAAAGCAGCCATCGAGGAGTCAAATGGTGTATTGCATTGAACAGATCTGCTGACGTCACTTTGAAGACTGTGATGCTCCTGATCCAAGTCATGGCATTTTCAATCCCCTCATGTACATGTGAAAACTAGACAGGGAATACGGAAGACTAGAGAAGAACTGATGCCTTTGAATTCTACTTTTGGAAAAGAATATCAAATATAATCTATGAGTCAAATTTGACTCAACGGCAGTGGGTGTGGTTTTGGCCAGAAGAAGGAATACATCTGTCTTGAAGGAAGTACAATGAGAATGTTCCTTAAAAACAAGAATGGCCAGTCTTTGTCTCACATATTTTGGACATGTGGTCAGGAGGGACCAGTCCCTGTAGAAGGGTATCACACTTGATAGAGGGTCAGTAGAAAAGAGAAAGCCTGTCAATTGGTTGGATTGACACAGGGGCTACAACAGTGGGCTCAAACATTGTAACCATCTCGAGGATGGCATGGAACTGCTGGGCAGCGTTTTGTTCCATTGCACACTGAGGTCACTACGAGTCAGAACAAACTCCAAGGCACCTAACATTAAAACAAATGGATCTCGCAAACAAAATATTGAGCAGAAGCACACAGAAATGATGACATATTGTATGATTACACTTTATATGTTTTTTTTAAATTTAATTTTATTTATATAAATTAAAGCACAAGTAAAACTCACTTTCTGTGTTGGAAGTCAGGATAGTGTCCACAAAAGGACACAAGGTGGTTTCTGGTCCGATTCGGTTTCCTAACCTGGGTACTGCTTACATTTGTGCATGAACAGACATTGAGTTCACTTTGCTTTAAATGCATTTATGCTTCAATAGAATTCATGGGAGGGTCGGGTGGGGGAGTGCTAGAAATTATAGATGCCAACTTAAAATCAAAATGTGAGGTCTGAATTTATAGGATGAAAAAAATTGTTTGCAATGAAAGCAAATAAATAAATCATACTCTCCCTCTAATATAGCCCTTCTTTTTTGTCTAGCAAATTTCTTGTAAACCTTCTCCAAGAAATCCTGTTCTCTTTCCCTGCACCTTCCCTCAAATATGCCACATGCCTTTCCCCTGTACTGCATGTTACTTTGGTTTAGAATAGTTTTCATGTGATGAGTTAGTGGGAGGGAAAAAGAATATGATGAGCCAGGAGCCAGGAAATTTGGCAAAACCGTAATGGAGACCGGATTCTAGCCCTCGTTCTGCCACCAACTATGTGGCTTTGACCCAGACACTTACTTGCTCTGCACCAGATTGTCTCTAAAGATTCCTTCCAAAACCAAAATTCTATGAATCTGTTGAGTAATAAGGTATTTGGAAAAACTCAAGCAGTTTAACCCAAAAAAGAGAGGGGGAGAAATAAAGAGAGAAAATAAACAAAAATGTGCTAGTGATTTTCCTTTCATAGGAATCATAGGTCTGATTCTGTATATGGGGTCTCTTAAAATTATTTACGATTATTTGCCCCTCCCCCCTCTTCCAATATGCACCCTCAGAAAGTAGAAAGAAATATAGGATGTAATAACACAATTATCTTGGTTTCTATTAATTTTCACCTTAAGACATGAAATCTATCAATAACCGTGTTTTAGCACAACTTATTATTTTAAGGAGTCATAAAGTTCATAGGAACACTTTATTCTTAGCTATAAGGAGAGATCGAGTTTAATGATATCTCATTATATCACTGGTATGAAAGACTAGCAAGCTAATGGAATGTGTTAAATATCAGGGTTTGGCTTTTGTCTTAAATTATCCTGCTGAAAGACTTTGGAAAAGACAATGTCTAGATCCCTAATCTGAGCTCTGGTGATGTAGTGGTTACCCGTTGGACTGTTAACCATAAGCTCATCAGTTCAAAACCACCAGCAGCTCTGAGGGAGATAGATGAGACCCTCTACTCCCATAAAGAACTACCGCCTCAGAAAGCCACAGGAGCAGCTCTATCCCGTCCTATGAGACCAGTATGGGGCAGAATGGACTCAATGGCAGCGATTTTGGTTTTGGTTTAGGTGCTCAATCAACCACCGTCTTCCAGTTTGCCATATTGTGGTGGCTTGTGTGTTGGCATGCTAGAAGTTGAGGCACCAGTATTTCAAATGCCAGCAGGGTCATCTATGGTGGACAGGTTTCAGTGGAGCTTTTGACTAAGATGAACTTTAAAGAAGAGCCTGGTGATCTACTTCCAAAAACCAGCCAATGAAAATCCTGGGGATTCCAAGAGAATGTTGTCCAATAGAAAGTGCTGGAAGACGAGCCCCCTGGGTTGGAAATGACTACATTGTAGACCCAACAATGGACTCAAACGTATCAATGCTCCCAAAGCTGCCACAGACCTGGGCCACATTATGTTCTGTTCTACAAGAAGCCATCATGTGTTGGGGCCCTTTCAAGGGCTGTCAACAAGAAGTCCCTAAAAGTGCATACCGCTGTCCTGATTTGTAGTAAAGAGTCTTAACGTGGAATATGGGGAAAACTTAGTCGCTAGAAATCAAATCAAATCAAGCAAATCAAGTGGCTAGGGACATACGAGCATGTGAAAATATATCAAATTCAGAATCTTGGTAAGGAATAAGATGACAGTCATATAGAATAACGATCAATGTTTGCATCGTTATTAAGTGTTTGCTGTATGAGCATAACTTAGAGGAGAAAATGTCTTCCAGATTGAACCAAAGCATCTCGTTGCAACTCTACAATAATTGGTAGCAGTGTCTGGCTTAGAGTAATCTACTCGGTAAACACTGTCTTGAATGAAAACTCAATAAATGGAGCAACAAGGGGAGTAGAACAGGAAAGGGTAAACACAACTTAATAATAGTTCATATCAGGACAATGTACATCAGCCTTTACATGGTCTCTGCTTTTGTAAACAAGGGCTTTAGGCATAGGACCTTGTGCCATTGAGATGTTAATGTGTTTTCATGGTTGGTATTCCTCAGCAGTATTTCGGCTTTCCTTTCCACTTTGCTAAATAAGTGGATATTTGGGTACCATTATTGTAGCAATATTAGGTGGTTATATTAAGTTTCATTTGTTAACATAATTTATGAAGAAATCCTAACCTGAATATTCCTATATATCTAGGCCTAACCCTAGGCTAAGTAAGCCCTATTTCTAGGTTTGAATGAGCAGTGAATTGGGCCATAACGATACATGATTTCCTGTTCTTGCCAGGTATTTGTTAATAACAGCGGGAAATACAATGAGCTTGGATATCCTTTTGGTTATTTAAAAGCTAGTACGACCTTAACTTGTGTAAACCTCTTTGTGATGCCTTACAACTACCCCGTTTTACTCCCTCTTTTAGGTAAGTACAACATGTGCCATTTACTCATCTTTCCAATGTAGCAAAGATTAAAAATGGGTCACAGCCGAAGCATCTTCAATGTAGCCAAGGAACTGTTGATATCAGGAGACAGAAAATCTCCCCACTGATTTGTAATGGTAGAGTTTGCACGCGGTTTCTGTTTTGTTTTGTTTATTGTTTTCTGTTGTGTGATTCTTGCTGTTCTTTAGGTTGCAAAGGCCAATCTCCCTCCCCCAGGTTTAAATGCATCTAGCCTTTTTATAGACAAGTTTGGGCCAAAACTGACTATGGATTGAGGTCAGTCTCCAAAAACCACATGCTTTTTCTTCAGAAAGTAGGACTTCCATGGGGGAATTGGCTTACATTCTTTTCTCCACAGAGGAATTCGAACTGTTTGAGTCAAGGCCATGAATTCAAAGGAATAGGTACGAAAGTGAATTTCGCAATAACCCTAGTGGCACAGGCTGTGGTTCCCACTGCAAACTTGTCAAAGTAAAAATCCTAGAAGCTATGACTCAGATACTACTGAAAATGCCTGCAGCGTTTTTTTGGTTTTGTGTTTTCACTTGACAATCCACATTTTCTTAAAGTCACAAAGTACAATGTGGTGTTTTTGTACTTGTAAAGTTGTGACCATTTGATTTGATGGGGTTTTTTAATGTTTGCAAAAGGGACCAGGCCTGTGCTAAGTTTTCAGATAGTCATTAAAAATATGACATGATTTTTTATGCTATAAATACTACATGTACTTAGTGTCCTGAAAAATCAATATTTAACCTTTTTTCAAGTTTGAGAATAGGTCATCGTAAATATATTCACATTTTGACTAGCTTATCTACTTTGGTTCGTAGTCTAGGATCTTCTAAGAGTTGGTTGTCACTGAGGTAAAATATAGATCTTTTGAAATTAATCATCTTGAATGTACTTAAGTATCTGTACTTCATGTGTTTATCTCCATTTTTTAGATGTGCCTTTATGACCCCAGCTTCCACAACTGTAAAGTCAAGACTAGATAATTTTGACGTAGACTCTGTTATCAATAGTATTTTTATATTTTTAAAAGTAAACTTTAATAAAAGATAATCATAGATTCACATACAGTTATAAAACACAGTTCAGAAAGATTCCATGAGCCCTTTACCTAGTATCTCCCAGTGAATATCTTGGAAAATTATCAAGATCAAAACCAGGATTATCAATATCAAAACCAGGATTTTGACATTGATACAGTCAAGATACAGAACAGTTCCATCAACAAGGACCCCTCATGTTTAAACCAAAGCAAAAGCCAAACTCATAGCGACCTGACTCAGAGCAATCCTATAGGACAGGGTAGAACTGCCCCTGTGAGTTTCCAAGACTGTAACTGTTTACAGGATCAGAAAACCCAGTCTTTCTTCTCATGGGGCGGCTTGTGGTTTTGAACTGCTGACCTTGAGGTTACCAGGACAATGCGTAACTACTGTGCCACCACCTCATGTGTAACAAACCCAAACTCACTTCCATGGAGTCGATACCCACTCACAGCGACCCTGTTGGTTAGAGTAGAACTCTTGTAACTGCTGCTGTAGGTTGCTGAGGTTCAGAGTGTCCACAGAGATGACCCTAGTTTTCTCAGCATTAACCCACTGTTTTCCATTAGCAAAAGTTAACAAAGGTTTACTAATTTGAGCTCTAAAGCTTACCTGAACAATATGACAAACATCTCATTCCCTGGTGATAGATAAATGAGGCTTAATTGGCTCCATGAGCTAACCAGAAGTATATGCTATTAGGATGGCTACCAGATCTTTGCCATCGGCCAAGAGATTTTGGGGGAATGATGTGTTTTTTTTTATTTAGGATCTTTTTTTTCCCTTAAAGAAACATATCATGTTCTTTATTTGTTTGTTATCTGTTTGTTATCTGTTTGTCAATTAATTAATGAATTAAGTAACAGGAAAGGGAAGTGTGGAGTTAGAGAACAGGAGGTTAATTTGTGTCTGATACTTTACAGTGTACAGTTATTTTCCTTTTATGCCATGTTTTCACATATATAATCGACTGCCTTACAAGAATCCTGTGTAGTAAGGCAGTTATTATTAAATCCACTTCACGGAGGTGACTGAAAATGAGGATGTGATTTGTTAAAGCTCACTCACCTAACGATGTGACTGAGCTTGGACTCAAACCCAGATCTTCCCCCTCCTTGAAGAGGGGAAGGGGAGGAAGAAACTGGAAGGAAAATGTCCGTCATTTATGAGGTACAGACAGTATCATTTTACTCTTACTCGACACTATCAACTCCTCATCTTACAAATGTTGGTAAGCTAATTGTTTCTGGCATCTTTACTATCATATCCTAGAGAGACTCCCATCTGAATGGAATTATGAAATCGAGAAAATAAATTTTCCAAGCTGCAGAGGTAGTGACTAAAACAGTGTCACCCTTAATCTAGACTGTTAAAAAATTCAGCAAGACATAATTAGACTAAACCAGCTCCTGGATAGAATCATTGCACTTGGCATTGTTAGAAATATTGAAAGTATGCTGAACTCTGACGAGCTAATCTCTAAAAGTATCTGAAGTCTCATGGTATTTCCGTTTGCCAGCTACTCCCCCAAATCTGCCCCAAGTCCCATCAGATGCCACATAAAGACATGTTTTCCAGGGCCTCGTGTTCCTTTCTTTCCATCACCCAGTTAACTAATATTGGGAAGACCCAAAGTTTGGCTGGACATGCTTGATTTCAAAGGTCACAGCAATGAAGTGAGGGGAAAGCGGACAGATATGAATGGTCTGTAAAGTGCCTCTTTGCAGTAATGAGGCAGAACTCTCTGCAGATCCTTTCACTGTTTCTGTAGCAAAAGAACAAAAGACCTCCATTTCATGACTGTAAATTCCTTTCCATTTGTGTCAGTTTAAGTGATTAATTTTAATTTTAGCAGTGAAAAGAAGAGAATATAAAGTTGCTTAACTAACTGATATTTGAAAAACATCATTCAGGATTTTAAAAACAGCCATAATTGTACAGAAAGCATGCATGTGGCAAAGGGATGGTTTGGTTTTTTTAAACTAAGAACCAATAACTGAAAACCAAAACAGGATGAATTTATAATATCTGTGATGTCTATAGCACGTGGGGTAAGTACCTTTAGTTACATGAATGCACATGGTATTCCAGAAACATGTTTGGTCACATGAAATTTGGAACTTCAATTGAGCACCACTGTATGCTATTCTTCGTGCCATCACTCAGTTAGTTGTTAAATAATATTTGAAAGACACAAAGTGACTCAGTGCTTGACTTCAAAGGTTGAAGAAATGAAGTGAGGGGGGGAAATACGACTAACTTAAAGTACAGTTTGGGCAGATTAAGGAGCCCTGGTGGCATAGTGGTTGCACATTGAGCTGCTAACCGCAAGGTCCGCAGTTTGAAACCGCCAGCCTCTCCATGGAAGAAAAGCAGGACTTTCTACTCCAGTAAAGAATTACAGTCTCTGAAACTCACAGGGGCATTTCTACCCTCACAATAGGGTCGCTGTGAGTCAGCATCAACTCAATGGTGGTGAGGGTTTTGATTTTGATTTTGATTTTGGATTTTAAGAACAGATTAAGGAAAATCCGAAAGATAATTTAGAGTTTGCCATCAATGCCTGGAAATTAGAGGCTTAGCTTTGTTCTTTCTTTTTTCCCCCACAAACCATTTTATTAGGAGCTAACACAGATATTATATCATTCCATAGTTCAATCACATCACGCACTATTGTACAATTGCTACCACAGTCCATTTCAAAACATTCTCTTTTTCTTGAATTCCATGCTATCAGCCCTCCCCCACTCCCCATGACACACACACACACCCTTCTGATGTACTTTGGAAAGCCTTTCCACCTTAGCCTTTCAAAAAAGAATACAGCACCATCTATGTTTAAAGAAAGGAAATGCTATTCCATCAGCCAATGACAGTGGGTTAGAGTAGAGTTAGAACAAGTGACAGTTTACAAAAGTCAGGTGGATCAGAGTCAATGTTATTACATTTTGTGTGGCTTCACAGATAGAAGAGCAAAGTATAACTTAATGTCTTAGCTTCCAAGGCTGTCAGAACACACTACCGCAAAGCGGGTGGTATTGAAGAACATAACTTTTATTTTCTCACAGTTATGGAGGCAAGGAATCCAGATTCATAGTGTGGGAGAGGTCATGCTTTCTCTGTCACTGCAGGAGAAGATCTCCACCGCCGCCACCACCCTCCCCCCCCCTCCCCCCCAGTTTCTAGTGGTCCTGGGTGTTTCGTGGCATTCCTTGGCATTTAGATGCATCTTCATATAGCATCTCGTGCTGCGGGACGTTGTCTCCATGTGCACGTTCTCGTTTTATAAGAAACCACTGAGAAGAGATTAGGACGCACTCTGGTACTCCACCAGAGCTTCTGAGGGACAATGATGAGGCGATCTTCCTTCTGTAAAGAGGAACAGTCTTGGAAACGCTCCCGAGGCTTCTAGGAGTTGGGAAACCACTGGATGGCAGCGGGTTTGATGGCTGTTGTTAGTTTGCTTGTTTGGGCGACTCCATTGTGACCTGAGTACCTTCACCGATAACATCTTCAACTCAAAAACCAAATCAGCTGCCATCCCATTGATTGTGAGTCATTGTGGCCCTCCGAGGCAGAGTCGAGCTATCCCTGCTGGTTTCCGAGGCTGACAGTCTTTTCAGGAGCAGAAGGCCTCATCTTCTGGGGAGCGGCTACTCTGCTAGGGCACCTTAACATCTTCAAAGAAAGACCGTGTATCCAAATGAATTCATATTCACAGGGCTCAAAACTTCAACAGATCTTTTATGGGGATACAGTTTAATCCCTAGCATTTGAGAACATACTTTCCTTCCTAGAGAAAGGTTCCATAGCATTTTAATAAATACTACCGACCACCAAACACCCCAGATCAGTGAAGAAACCCCAATGAAAGGGTCACCTTCTGTAACTGAAAATGGAGATTTCGCGTAAATGCTGTGATAAGATGTACGTTGCTTGATTTAACTTTTGGCATACGGGACTGGAATAATGTGATGTCTTACTTGATTTTCTATTGCAGATGACTTGTTTAAAGTTCACAAGCTTAAGCCAAATCTGAAGTGGCGACAGGCTTTTGACAGCTACTTAAAAACTCTGCCTCCATACTTCTTATTAGTATGTATTTGTGTGTATGTATGTATTCACGCTAGAAACAGTGGCTCTGATTGCAAGCTTTAACTCCTGAAATAAAATAGTTATCTGTTAATTTTACAAGGATTTGTGTTGTCATGATCTTCTCAATATCAGTGTGTAAGAGTTTGTCATGGCAGCACAAAACGAGGGGGTAAAAAACTGGGTGTGTTGCTTACTTTAACTGCCATAGTTATTTTTCATCAAACGTATGTCTGTTTCTCTTATTACAACTAACCCTATGAGATCCTAAATTTGGAATTCAAGGATGAATAGATCTGTGTTCATGTATGACATCAGCTACCCTTTTTAGCTCTAGAAATTCTCAATAAGTGGTTTCCCTCTGAAAACAGAACCATTTTCAGGAGGCAGCACATTTACTTGTTGCCTGTGAACCCTGGTTACAGAGACTGAGAGGTGGGGGTGCTGGGGAGAGACCTCAGAGAATAAAGATCGACTTGGTCTCATTTTGGATTTGACAATTTGAAAAGACAAAAAAAGTATTCATGATCATATTTGAACTGGCAATCTAATTGAAAGCCCCTGGGTGGAGCAAGTGATTTAATCTTGGCCCCTAACCCAAAGATTGGTGGCTCAAATGCCCCCAGCGGCACTGTGGAAGAAAGACCTGGCAGTCTGCTTCCAGAAGATCACAGCCAAGAAAACCCTATAGAACAGTTGTACTTTGCAGCACATGAGGCCACCATGAGTCAAACTCAACTCTACGGCAACAGGTAACAGAGCCTAAATTCAGACCACCAAACTCATTCCAGAGGTTCACTGGGTACGCTTTCATCTAAGTTTCTAGAGGTGAAAAGGTCGAGCCTTCCCTGGTACTGTTGGTGTCACTGGGAGGAGAATGTGGGTGTGTTAAGATTTGCCATGGCAGGAACGGGATGCACGATAAAATGCATTGTAAAATGATTTCAGGGCTTGGGACTTAAGACTGAAAGCAATTTACCTGTTGTTTGAATTTGCTGTTACTTGCTCTTCTGATCCCACTCTCCGCTGTTTATTTTTTGTTGTTATTGTTTGTTTGTTTTCTTTTGGACTTTCTGCTCCTAACTTCCCTGCTATTTCTCATTCCCACTTTTTAATGTTCCATGTTTGGTTTTATGTGTAGCACCTTGACGTCTAAGAAATGACTCATGTCCCTTTGCCCCTTGTAACTGAACTTTGAGTATTTGAAGATTTATCCTATTCTTACTGTTGTGTATTTTGTTTCCTTATAGCCATTAAAGAAAGCACTAAGGATGATGGGAGCTCCAAATCTGATATCAGATAATTTAGATTGTGGACTTAGTTACAGTGTTATCTCTTACCTTAAAAAACTCAGCCAACAGGTAGTATTGGTAAAAACAAACAAACAAAACTCCTTTGCCCTCAGAAGTGCATTTCCTTATTCTTCAGTGTAATTGTAATTTTCAAATTAAATGTGTATGCATATTCTACACTCTATGGATTAGTAATAATGTGATTCTCTATGGCTTCTAGCTTCACCGTTAACCTGCAGTTAAGGGTCCGTCAGTATCATTTGATGCTGTGCCATTGCTCCTTTTGCTTGCCCATTTGCCCTGCCCACATGCTGGTGGATATTCTGTGGCCTAAGAGGGGAAGAGGCTTAAGAGAATGGCCTCCTGGATCGCATTTTTGTCTCTACTCAATCTAGTTTCTCCTCAAATTACTTTGGACTAGTGCATCTCTTTTTTTTTTCTTTATTTTCTTTCTGGTTTTTTTTTTAGGTCACCACACTGAAATATGTGTCATTTTCAGGCATGTGAAAGACTCACACTCACATGCTAGCTGATGAATAAATGTCCCTCCCTAGCCTATCCTTTTTTCTGGGGTGGAGGGGGCCGAGACCAATGTTCCTCAGACTGGAGGGTGGTAGGCTCCAAGGGGACCTGAAAAAGGAGTGCTTTGATCCCCCCAGTTCATATTTTGTTGTTCTCCTTGTCCCTTGCCTGCCCCTCTCTATTAGTAACTCATTCTTCACTCGCTCACACCCCTCCTGATCATACTTCTCACCTCTACTTAGCCCATTCTTGCAGGGTGCAAATGATTGAGAACTACCAAGTTAGAGTTTTATGGCCATACATACGTATTATGTGAGATGACAAACCAATGCTGCAGTTTGACTTTCTTCTTATGTACAAATGTAGGACACAGTTGTAGCACTTACAGCGACTCTACTGCTTCAAGCTGGAGATGATTGGAGATTGTACAACCCTAGAAAAGAGAGAGTAGTGAGCAAAGTGACAGATTTCACTAAAGAACCAAAGTGACTGCACAATTGGGATGCTGGCACACGGTGCTAGAAACTGGCACAAACTTAAAGGACAATCTGGAGTTTACTAGCTCCTACCAGTCTAGTGTGGCCATAAGTGAAATGGAAAATAAAGACAAACTCAGATTTCTGATCTATCAAATGTCCCCTTAACCCCCTTTTTTCTTTCCTGCTAATAGGTTTTACTTTGGTTGTTGTTATTGTTGACGGTGCTTTGTTTTGATTATTCATTTATTTATTTTCTTTATTTGATGCTTACCTTTGGGCCTTTAAGGCTTTTGCAGCAGAGCATGGCCAGAAGAGACAATAGTAAACGGAATTGAAACTAATCTAAGTTCTGGGGCAATCTAGCATACAGTGTTTGTATATTTTTGTAAATCAACTTCCAAGACCATTTAAGGAAACAGACCCTTCATTTGATCTTTTCCTATTTTTCATGCCTTAAGAATTTTTTTAAAAGAGAACAAACTCTACTTAATGTTAATAATTGGGCCATAGTAATAAATATTTATGACCAAACCCTGAGGACACCATAATTATTTTGGACTTACTGACTTTTGGTGGAGTGCTACCTCTAGAGAAGAAGGAAAGACCATTACTACCTTGTGATTATGTGGACAGAAAATTTCTATGTCATCATTGTCTCTTGAACTCACACTGACGTATGCAAAACAAAACATGCTCAATATACAGTATGTTGCTACAATTGCTACTTTTAAGCAATAATAGTCAATATGGGACAATATTGTTTATTAAGGGGATTTTTCTATGTAAGTTAGTAGGAAACTTAATGAATACCCATTATAAATCATTTACATCACCCAATCTACTAAATGAAACATTAGTCTGAAATTGAAAATACCTCATTTAATTTTTTCAGATATAAGGCCAATCTATATGTAGCCTGAATTTCAGCACTAGTTTGAATTTGTAAATACAGGGTCTTAAAACATTTTTGCCTGGGCTGAAGATGAACATATTGACTTAGGCTAGTTTTTACAGAAACAAAATGTACTTATAACTGTCCTAAAGGGATTTATATCCCTGATTTCCATTTTCTCCATGACTCAATCATATTTTGATACTAGACAAGAGAAAAAAAATATGAAAGTCAATGGCCCCTCTATTCTCCCCTCTGTGTGTGCCGTAGTAGTACAACGAAGCCCAGGGAAATGGTCATTACCCATTTTCTGTGATTCCCAACAGAAAAGTTGGTATGTCGGGTTCTAAAAGTATTACTATCTTTCTTAAATCATGAAAAAGACAGTGATAGGATAGGTCTTTTCATAACACACCTTCTACTTTCCTTTTAGACTAAACTAGAGTCCGAACGAATACTTGCTTCAGTAGGAAAGAAACCTCCCCAGGAAACTGGAATGAAAGTGAGCAATCATTCTGGAGGTGGACTGGCTTTGACTCATAGTCCAAATGTCCGAAAGCTGCTGAATGAAATCACAGGCGACACTGCCCTGAGACTGGCAGAACTGAGTCCCAAAGATTTTGCTGGCTTCCAAATCGGACTCTTAAACAAGGTACATTGTGCTGTGAATAGATTCTATTTGTTAGAATTTATCAGATACATTTGCATCTTTGAACATTCGTTTCGTTTGGAAATAGTGGTTGGATGTAACAAACTGTACTTATAAATGTCCTAAAGGAATTTCTATCCTTGACTTGGGAATTATTCATTGACCCATTTAAGAATTGACTGGCTGGATGCGCCTGCTTCTAGACATCAATCGAGAATTTAAAGTACAAGATATTTGGGGGGAATCATACCCCTGGGGAAAAAAGGGAGAGAAAGCAGGAGGAAGCAAAGGAAGCTTTCATACTACAATTGCTGATCTTGCACCTTTGAGGGCAAAGAGGGAAGGAAGGAGGATTTGGAAGAAGAAACGCCTAGCAGCAAGAATTCCCATAGAAGCCGTCCCCATGCCCAGCCAGTCCTGGGGCTTTGGGGCTTGGCTCAAGGGGAATCCCTCTGGGACATGGGTGGGGGGGGGTCCAGTGATGGTATGACCCTTTGCTGGGCATTCCTACTCAGTAGGGTATGCTGGGCCCCTCTAGGGTTTCCCGTATGGGTTCCAATAAATTTCTTCCCTTTTGCTTAAAAAAAAAATCCCATAGAAGCAGCTCACAGTGAGCAGAAGTGGGGTTCTGGGGCAGCCTGGGAAGAGGACGACCAGCTCAGCACTACTTTATCAACTACCATATGTATAAAGCCAAATAGCCCATGTATTTTGCAAACCGCTTAACTCCCTCACCCGTTAGTTCATCGTATATCTATGTGCATTCTTTCCATGCATGCGTTATATGTAAATGCATACATACAGTAACTGCACTGCTTGTAGGGGATCAACCATTGTTTCTCAAAGGGAGATCCCAGTGGCTCACTGACTTCTCTGACTGCCCGAGAAATCTAGAAAACAAACCCTAGACATGCAAGGCAAACATACATCTCAGAATTTCGTGTTTCCAATGACATACTTGAAAAAGGATAGTTTTCAGGTTGTAATGCCTTGTAGATGTATTCGAATGAAGACCAAGGCCAGCAAGTAGAAATCTCCCACCAGGGAAGTTCTACTGTTGTCAGTTTTACTGATTGGAGAAGTTCTTTACTAAGATTTTAGCAAGGCTTGAAGGACATCTAGGTCGATTTTCGGAACATAGTGCACAATGACAATGTTCTACATCCTCCTTTGGTGAGTTTTTAAAGCCTTTAAAGCAGTGGTTCTCATCCTGTGGGTTGCGACCCCTTTGGGGGTCAAACGACCCTTTCACAGGGGTTGCCCGATTCATATCAGTAGCAAAATGAAGTTATGAAGTAGGAACGAAAATAATGTTCTGGTTGGGGTCACCACAATATGAGGAACTGTATGAAAGGGTCGCGGCATTAGGAAGATTGAGAGCCACAATCAAAGACACATGGAAACAATTAGTCCAAAAGACTAATGGATCATACGGATTTGTCTTTAGGACCCTAAGAGCAGAACAGCTAGGTGGTGCCCAGCTACCACTACCAAGTGCTCATAAACTTTATGAGATAAAGGGATCACATTAGAAATTGTGGGACTGAGAGGGAGAAAAATGTGGACCCGAACTCAAAATAATTTATTGAATAAATAAAAGGCCAGGCTTACTGGGTAGATAGAGACTGATGGAACCACTGAGACTATGATCTTTAGTGACCCTTCAGGCCTTGAACTAAACTCACCCTCAAGATTCAAACACTAGACAGTTCTACAAGGTGACCAACACTAGGGAGGTATCCACTCCTTAGAACAATCAAGCATTTGAGATCGAAAGGGCAGCATTTGACTAAGGACAGCATTCAGTTGGTTTGAAAAGTTAGGAAAGGAGGAGGAAAGGAAGTGAGAAATACAAACAAGGTAGAAGTGAGCTGAGTGACATTTCATTGTGGGGATTGCAATCAATGACATGAAAAGAAATGGATTTAAATTGTTGGATGGAAAACTGATTTGCTCTATACACCTTCTCCCAGTTCACAATACAATGTTTCTGAAAAGAAAACCTTTTAGTAGGGTTAGGTATTACATTTCTGTTTTACATACATCAAGAGTAACAAATTCTTTGTTTCATCCCCAACAGGATTTGAAACCTCAGACATATAGAAATGCTTATGATATTCCACGTAGTGGTCTTTTAGACCAGTTAACCAGAATGAGATCCAATCTGCTAAAAACTCGCAAGTTTATTGTTGGCCAAGATGAAGGTAAATGAACAATGAAACACACTCCTTGATTTTGAAAATGTCTAGTCCGAACATTTATATTGCACAAATTCTAAAGTTTAGATTGTGTAGTTTCACCTAATCTCAACATCTACCCAGACACAGTATTTCTCAAGTGCAAGAAGTATGGGTTCATCATTACTTACGCTATACTCTCCACGATTTGTTTCCCTTAATCCTCAAAACAGCCCCATGAAGTAGCGATTGTTTTGATGCTCACTTTATTGTAACAGCAACTGACTAAAAATCTGTTCAACTTTTTCAGGTTGGAAAGTGGCAGAAGTTAAGTCTATCAGTGTCCAAAGACTTGTTCTAGAGGAGAACTGAAACCCTAAATTCAAATATAATTTATAGAGACACAATTTATTAAGTCTTTAACATGACAAAGATAAGACAAAGACAAAAAAACAATTCATCTAAAATAAGGAAGCCCGTCAGCACAAAGCCATCATGGCGTTCAAGAAGTTACAGAAATTCTGCCCCTTAAGTAGGATATGGAGTCCAAGGGAAACTGACACACAACCATGATGGGTGACTGATTGATATCACGCAGTCACAGGTGGGACTACAGAAATGGGAAAGGGCCCACGATTGGGATCCCCGTACTCTACCCTCTGACCCTGGCACTCATGATCACGAGAACCCTAGTCCTCCAAATTCCATCCAGAGTAGCACGAAGTTGCCCCTCCCTGAATTGCCTCGGGAAGTAGTAGCCATAAACAACAACTCACTGCCGTTGAGTGCCTTTTGGCTCATATCAGCCCTGTAGAAACAGAGAACTGCCCCTATGCATTTTCAAAACTCCCAACGCCCGAGGAGAGGATGGTGGTTTCAAATGTGTAACTTTCAGTTAGCAGCCCAAAGAGTAACCCAGTGTGACACCAAGGTTCCGGTGGAGTGGGAGTGATTCACTTTCAATCACATGGTGCCTCCCATACTTTGCCCAGCTACTCATGTTGCTGCTTAATGCCCTGAAAGAATGCAATGAAGTCTGGATCAAGGTGGAGACTCAAAAATGGATCTAGGGATTTCATTCACTGTAAACTGTAGCCTTCCGTACACCGAGTGCTCCACATGTAAGCTGTAATACAGACTGCATGTGCAAACACTGGACTGCACCTCCAACCGCAATGAGTTCAATAAAAAACCCCACATGAGGGTAATCAACTTAAGAGGAGTCAGGATAATTGACATCTTTTAAATGCCCTTCTGTTCCATTTTGTTACATTTAAATGGGTTATCTGTCCACTAAAGTAAGCAAAGCTTATCTTAGACAATTCCCCTCAAAGTAAACACCAAGCTTTGTGTGAAAAGGGACTTTTCTGGGAAGAAAAATCTGTTGATCAATCAAATTCTCAAAGAAGTGAAAACCCAACTTTCACAGGCAAATAAGAGACTGCCTAGTTTCTTCCGAATAAGGAACCAATAGGTTTGGTTTTTTGTTATATTTATTTTTTAGTTGGGACAGTGTCATAAAGGAGGGTAGCCTAGTTTGAAGTGCCCGAGAAGTGTTCTAGTCTAGCAGCAGGAATACTGGTGGACTGATTAAGATGAAGGGAGAACATTGTAGTTGCCAGGATAGGATGGTACTATTTGAGATTTGAGATTCTATTTGGTTCTGAGACAGGACTATAAGATCATGACTGCCCAAGAGATCGTGCCTTTCGGATGTTTGGCACCCATTTCTTTTCTGGTACTTTTGCAGATTCACTTCATAGTGTTCCCGTTGCACAAATGGGCAACTATCAGGAATATCTGAAGGCGTTGCCTTCTCCACTTCGAGAGATTGATCCAGACCAACCCAAAAGACTTCATACGTTTGGCAATCCATTTAAACAAGATAAGAAGGTAAGTTGTCTATTTCTGTGTAAACTGTGATATAAAGTAGCCCCCAACTTATAACACGTTTGAATTATGATGACTTGATCTTATGACTGTCTTTTTAAAATATGTCTTAGTAGTAATATGTACTAAATGTGTTAATATATATTAAACTATATCTCTAAGTTTATATGTAATGTTTTCAACCATCAAAGGTTAGAAGTAAACATCAGAGGCATTATAAAGGAAACATCAGATTTCTAAAAAATAAATAGGTGTTCAGTTTATGTTAGAAATGTCAACAGAGTCATTAGAACAGGACTCTGTCTTGGGTTGGGGAGAACCTTTATTTGCAATAATTCTTTTCTTCTGGTAAGGTGAATGCATTCAGATGTTTTCTGTTTAAAAGATAAAAAAAACTGCACGGGGGCTGTTATGTGGATAGAAAGCAGGAGTCTTCTGACACAGGAATTTGTTGGTTGAACAGACTTAGCACCTGCCATTACTGAGTACCTACTAATAGGGGGTGTTTTGAATTATTGCATTTAATGCTTGCAGCTGTTCTGCGCGAAGTCATTACTATCCACCTTGTAGTACAAATAAGTCAAGGCTAACACTGGTCAAATGCTTTGCTCGAAGTGACACAAGTACTAGGTAGAACCAAAATGTGAACTCACATTATTCCATGCCCAGAATCTGTAGTCTTTTCCACTGTCACACACTAAAACCTGTTCTTAAAGTATCATGGCAAAATATATAACAAAAAGTGCTATTTTAACTGTACCATTCGGTGGTACTAATTACTCTTACCATTCTGTGCTTCCATTGGTGCTATCCATTTCCAAAACTTTTACATCACCCAAGACAGAAACTTGGTGCCCCTTTGGCTATAACTTCCATTTCCCTCTTCTCTCTAGTCTCTGGTAATCACTGACAAACTTTTATCTCGATGGATTTGCCTATTCACAATCATTTACGTAAGTGGGATTATGTAATATTTCACACACTACCTTCTTTAATATCAAAGTCAAAATGTATTCCCTCTGTTTCATCTATGAATATTCCATAGTGTTGTATGTAGAAGATGAAATGTAAGGTACAGAGGATACTGCCTTATTTGAATTGCCTTATTAGAGATCCTGGGAGCCCTGGTGGTCCAGGGGTTAAGTGCTCAGCTACTCATGGATAGGTTGGTGGATTGAAGCCGCCAGCCACTCTGCAGGAGAAAGATGTTACAGTGTGTAAAGATTACAGCCTTGGAAATCCTATGAGGCAGTTCTACTCTGTCCTACATAATACGTATTGACTCAATGGCACTGGGTTTGGTTTGGGTTTTACTGGAGATCTTAATGGAATGTTCGTGTATGTGTGTGTGTGTGTGTGTGTGTGTGTGTGTGTGTGTGTGTGTGAGAGAGAGAGAGAGAGAGAAGGCCTGCTAACTTGATCATTGAAGCATGAAGACAAATGGAATTTCATTAGTACGTATGGCAAACACCTTTTTCAATAACATAAAAGCAATAGTACACACGGACTTCTCCAGATGGAATACACAGAAATCAAATTGACTACATACATGGGAGGAGACGGCTGGAGAAGCTCGATATTAGCAGCTAAAAGCAGGCCAGAAGCTGGCTGTGGAACTAAGTTGCTTGTGTGTAACTTCAAGACAAAGCTGAAGGAAATTAAAACAAGTCCACGAAAGCCAAAATATGACCTTGAATTTATCCCACCCAAATTTCAAGAACATCTCAAGAGCAGATTTGGAACATTAAACGCTAATGACAGAAGACCTGATGAGCCGTGGGAGGATATCAAGATCATCATTCATGAAGACAGGAAAGAAAGAAAAGATAAAAATGGATAACAGAAGAGACTGAAACTTGCTACTCATCGTAGGGTAGCTAAGGTAAGTGGAAAAAAGAATGAAGTTGAGGATCTGAATTGAAACTTTCAATGGGCAGCTCAAGATGACAATGCCAAATATCATAATGAAATGTGCAAACACCTAGAATTAGAAAACCCAAAGGGAACAACACGCTCAGCATATTTTAAACTGAAAGAACTCAAGAAAAAAATGCAAGTCTTGAGTTGTGATCTTGAAAGATTCTATGGGCAAAATATTTAATGATGCAGGAAGCATCCAAAGAAGATGGACAGAATACACAGTGTCACTGCCCAAAAGAACTAGTGGACATTCCACCATTTCAGGAGGTGCGATCTGAGCAAGAACCAATGGCGCTGAAAGAAGCTCAAGCTGCACTGAAACCATTAGCCAAAAACAAGACTCCAGGACTTGATAAGACACCAACTGGAATGTTTCAACCAGCTGATAAAGCACTAGAAGCCCGCACTCGCCTATGCCACAAAATTTGGAAGACAACTACTTGGCCAAGTGACTGGAAGAGATCCATATGTGTTTCTACTCATTCCAAAGAAAGGCTACCCAAAAGACTATGGAGCAATATCACTGATATTGAATGCAAGCAAAATTTGCTGAAGATCATCCAACAGCAGTTGCAGCAGTACATTGACAGGGAACTGCCAGAGGTTCAGGCCAGTTTCAGAAGAGGACATGGACCAAGGGCTATCATTGCTGAAGTCTGATGGGTCAAGGCTCAAAGCAGAGATACCAGAAAGATGTTTACTTGCGTTTTCTTGGCTATCCCAAGTCATATGACTGTGTGGATCATGACAAACGATGGGTGACCTTGACAATAATGGGAATTCCAGAACACTTAATTGTGCTCATGTGGAACCTGTACATGGATCAAGCGGCAGTTGGGCGAAGAGAGAAAAGGACCACTGCATGCTTTAAATGCATGAAAGGTGTATGTCAGGGTTGTATCCTCTCATCATAATTGCTCGATCTAGGAAAGAAGAATGTGGCATCAGGATTGGAGGAAGGCTATTAACAACCTGAGATGTGCAGATCACACAGCCTTGTTTGCTGAAAGTGAGGAAGACGAAGCACTTTCTGATGAGGATCAGGAATAGAAGCCTTCGATATGGATTGTGAGTCAATGTAAAGAAGACCAATATCCTCACAGCTGGAATAAGTAAATTCATAATACATGGAGTAAAGGTTGAAGTTGTCAAGGAATTTATCTTGCTTGGATCCACAATCGATGTTCCTGGGAGCAACAGTCAACAGACCAAAGATGGAGTTGCATTAGGTAAATCTGCTGCACAAGACAGATACTATTTTGTGAATTAAGGTGAGTCTGGCCCAATCCATGATATTTCTCATTACCTCACAAGCATATGAAAGTTGGATGTTGAATGAGGAAGACCAAAGCCCAATTGATGCGTTTAAATTGCGGTCCTGGAGAAGAATGCGGACAGCACCAAGGACTGCCAAAGGTACAAATGATCTGCCTTGGATGCAGGATGGCCAGAGTGCTCCTTAGAGACAAGGAGCGTGAGACTTTATCTTACATACTTTGGACATATTGTCAGGAGAGTCTGGTCCCTGGAAAAGGATATCATGGTTGGAAAGTAGAAGGGCAGCAAAAAAGAGGGGGCCCCTCAATGAGATGGATGGGCTGCAACCATGGGCTCGAGCACAGGAACAACTAGGAGGATGGTGCAGGAGCGTGGAGGGTTGTGCATAGGGTCGCTATGGGTCAGAACCGACTCAACGGCACCTAACAACAACAATATGGAAGTTATTGGTATTAAGGCATAGAATATGTCATTGTTCTCTTCTGTCACAAAAGTACATTCCACTTTAATCTTCAGTGATATTGGCACCTTTATTCGTCATTCTGGGCCTTAATTTCCTCATTTAACATTAGTAATAACAATCACACCTAATTAATAAGGTTTTGTATCAGATAAAGTGAGTTGATAAAAGTAGAGTATTTAGAACAGTGCCCGGCAAATAGGAAATGAGCAATTAAAATATTTCCCCTTTTTTGCACTTTTAAAAATGGGTAAACACATGGTACAAATCATTTCTTTACCATGATCTGACTCAAATAACAAAGGACATGTTCTGGTGTTATCCTTGGATGAGAACAGGTTAAGCTAACCTTTTATACTACTGGCTCTCATCTTTCTTTCATGTATCCTGAACAGTGAAAAACTCCTCCCACCCAGCCTGGCGCCAAGTTGCACATATTTGATTATCTATGGACTTGGGAGTTCAGCAAATTACTCCGTCTATCTGCTATTCATTGTTTACATCAAGCATTGTTCACAGTGGTAATATTTGCTAATGATGCACTTTAAGCCAAAAATAGGATTTATCTGCCCTAACATGAGTATGCACTTCTTCAATAAAGTAAACATGGATTTACCCTATTTTTTAAATGATATCTGTTCATTTCCCAAGCTTTTGGATTTGCTGTGGTTGTACCATTTTTTTCATAATCACAGCGACTTTGTAGATCTAAGACAAAGTAGAACGGCTCCCTAGGGTTTCTGAGATATAGATATTTATGGAAGCAGATAGCCTCATCTTTCTCTAGTGGAATGACTGGTGGGTTTGAATTGCTGACCTTGTGTTTAGCAGCCTAAGTCTTATAGGGTCACTATGCGCTGCAATCAGCAGTGGGTTTGGTTTTTTGTTTTCTTTTGGTACCATATTTGGTTTGGAATAGCACATTGTATTTAACCTTGCTTCGGACTGGCTTAAAATGGACTGGCATTTCTTTAGAAAAAGTGTGGGTTAGCAGGGGTGATAAATGTTTGACCCATGACTAAAACTTATGCTAATGATTATTGTCCCTGAAGGACAATAATCTCTTAAAAACTTGACGGTTTTGAGAGAACTGTGGATTTGTCATGTATGGACTATATTCCTTGATGTTTTGCAGGGAATGATGATTGATGAAGCAGATGAGTTTGTAGCAGGGCCTCAGAACAAAGCGAAACGTCCTGGAGAACCCAACAGCCCTGTATCATCTAAGAGAAGGCGGGGCATGTCTCTGCTATTGAGGAAAACCCAAGCACCACCTACTGTAACGAACCACGTGGGCAGAAAGGGATCGCTCTCAACAACGTGTTTCCCATCCTATCCAAACCTCATAAAACCAACAGGTACAGCGCGATGGTGTGAATTCCTTATTGACCATAGAGAACGAATATCCTTAACAATCGCATTTTCCTTTATAGTCTTTTCTTTTGTGTTCCATTCTCATTCTTCAAGTATACCAGTATTAAATCACATACGTGGTGGTTACAATAGGCCCATTGGAAAGAAGAGACCATACGTCAAGGAGTTCCATTTATATGAAAGGAAATAAGATCTATAACTAACCAGTAGCTCATTTGGTTGGGATGGAGAAATGGTCAGTTGGCTTTGTCAGGGCAAGTCAACAAAGGTGTGGCCATTTGCAGCAAGCATTAGAAGGACAAAGCAGACTCCCAAGGCAGTTGGAGGGTGGGCTAAACAGAAGGTAGGTCTGCCAGCACTCCCTGGCCTTACTTCCTGTTCATACCTTAACCCACTATCATCTGGCATCTGCCTCCTCACCTCTGATCAAACTGTCCAAATCATGAATGTCAGCTTACATTGCCATGAATTCTTTAGCAGTACTTGCCCTGGTTGCTTACACCCTCCTTGGGGTCCCAATAAGGAGCTCTGGTGGTATAGTGGTTGTGTTTGGGGCTGCTAATCACAAGGTCAGTGTGGTAGTTACATAATCTGGTGCCAACTTGAGGCTATTAAGAGGGAAAGAGTGGAGTTTAGCCTGACAATCAGGTTGCTGCTTGATGACCTCATTTGGAGGCGCTACAAAGATAAAGAGCTCAGTGGAGGTGGGACAGACACACTCCCTGAAAGACATTTCTGTTTATAAGACACATGAAGCTACACTAGAGTCCTGGAGCTGGAGGAGCCACGTGGAGACACTTGCCAGCGCTGAGATGCTTCCACCGCCACTGGATCCACAAGACTTCCCACCCTCTGGCCTGTGTGATCTTTCCTCCTGAATTCAGTGTCATTGCATGTGCTGCGTAAGTCTGAAGAAGAATTTATTGGCTAGTATCAGACATATGGGATCATATCGGACTTATGGATTTGATCTGGACTGGGCTGGGATGTTTTCTCAATACACAATTGCTCTTTTATATAAAACTCTTTCTTATACACATATTAGTGTCTATGAATTTGTTTCTCTAGTCTACCTGGACTAACACCGTCAGTAATTCAAATCCACCCACAGCCTGAGGGAGGAAGATGATGCCTTCTGTTCCCATAAAGATTGGAATTGGCTCTATGGCAGTGAATTTGGTTTGCTTTGGTTTATACGAGCCTTCTTAGATTCCCATATATGAAATTCTCCTAGAGTTCTTCCCTATTACTAGCAACTCCTTTTCATTTTCTTTTCTGTGTGTTTCTTTTCTTTTGCACATCTATAGATTACAGGGGCCCCCAAGATCAATCATTGGCCCTTTTGACTTCAATACACCCTTCTCTAACTCATCCCATGCAGTCTTTAGGCCTCAAATATAATTTACATTCCAACCTCACCCCTTCCTCCAGCCATGATCCTGTACACAAAGGTCAAATACAAATGTTTACATGGGATCTCCACTAAAGTATGTAGGAGACACCTGATGCTTAACTGGATCCATATATTTAAACTGAACGCCCTATGTTAGGCCGGGTTGACTAGAGAAACAAATCCAAGGACATTCATATAAGATATATGAGAGAGCTCAAGAAAACATCCCAGCCCAGTCAAACTCAAGTCCATAAGTCTGATGCTAGTCCATAAGTCCCTTTTCAGACTCAGGGAGCCACATGCAATGATGTAGACTGCAGGACCATCATTGGCTGACGGGTGCAAAGTCTTATGGATTCAATGGCAGTGGACACATCTCCAGGGCTCACGCAGTGTCCGAGTGGCTCCATGATGACAGAGAAGGCAGTGGGGGGGGAGGTTCCCAGGACCCTCCTTATGAAGAGGCCATGCCCACAAGGAGATACCATCAGGCTGTGACCTGATTGACAGGCTAGACTCCACCCCAACACTTTAAGTTAACATGAAATTATGTAACTACCACACTCCTCCACTCCCCTTTCCAAACTAGCTCTACTTACACTCTCTTGCCAATTGAGTCAAATGACACCACCCATCAGTGTGCAGAGAAAAGTGTTAACAATCTGTTCACGGTTTTGTGGGTGGGCTGGCAGAGAAGCCCTGGGCTGCAGTGTTGGCAGATACCTCTAGTGTAAAAACTGCCAAACGGATGTCAAGCTCACTGACCACAGAATCCAAAAGCCTTGCACAGGACCTGGTCTGTGAGCTGTTCCTCGCTGGCTCGGACACATCCTGGCACCTGCTGCCTCAGGTCCAAACCTGTGGCTTCTCTTTTATACTTCTCTCCCTTCCCATCCACTAGCAAGAGCAGGCCACTTGACAGCCACTGTAGACCCCGCATCCCTGTCTCCCTCTAGTTCGTCTTACCGTGCCCTCGCCCTAAGGCTGCCACAGCAGTGCCTTAGCTGACCTGCCTGCTTCTCATGCCTGATCCCAGCTAACTCACTTTCTGTTGGTGAGCAGATCGATCCCGTCCACGTGTGCTGCTTGCCTGCCGGGCTCCTCCTTCCCCTCTGCCCTTTCCTCAGGTGCACCCAGCTTGCAGCTTGCCCCCTCCCTCCTGGTGGCCTCTGCGCCTGCCCTTCCCACAGCCCGGAGCACTGCCCCTGGGCCTGCACATGCTCAGCTCTTTCTCCTCCTCCAGGGCTGTGCTCAAAGCACACCTCCTCAGAAAGGCCCTGCCCACCCGCCCTGTCCACTGAGGCCCCTCCCCTACTCTCCACCACATCCATGCTCACTGCTCTTCCTTACTCGGCTTCACGCTGCCACCTTGGTTTTCTTTTCCTTTCTTTTACTCTCCCAGTGCACCTCGCTGTCCGCTCCCCACAGACATGTCAGAGCCACAAGGGCGGGCACTGTTTCTGTCTGTCTTGTTCACGGCAGAACCCCAGCTCTGGCCCAGTGCCTGCAGCAGAACGGTCGCCTACATGAAGATGAGGTGCCAGGCTGTTCCGTGCAGAGAGACTGGAATCTCTGAGACGGAAGTGAAGGGTGGGGAGAGGGTGGTACAGGCGGGGCTGCCTGGTGATGGAGTGGAGGCAGAGTGTCCAGAGCTAACGGCCACTTCTCTTTTCTCAGTAAGCTTGAGGGAGAAAGAGGTGGAGAACTGAGCCCACGTTGTCTGGCTTGCAGCTCAGTAAAGGATGGCAGCTTCCACGAGGTTTTGAGAAGTCGTGGCATCAAACGACACTGGTAGCTTTGCAACTTGTGAAGGGCAACCAGGTGGTGATCACCCCTGAGGGTCAGGGTTCTGCGAGCACGTGCTGATTGAGTGCACTGTCTCACAGGCTTTCTGCACATACTGAGTGCCAAGGAGGGAGGAACGTGGGTTTGTCCTATTATTTTTCCCAGAACTCCATTTGAGGGTTCTGCGATTTCCACGGGGCACGTCGTCTTGCTGTATGAAATGAAGAACTCCCTCAAAACTAAGAAGCATAGAGATGTACCTATGGGGGGTGGGGGTGAAATGCCACTTCCTTGGGGCTCAACGTCTTAATGTGTGTTCCAGATGCTGCTGCCATTCACGATTTCCATGAGGAGGAGACGGAAAATGGTCCAACCGTTCCTGATGGCCTATCAAAATCTGTCCCTCCAAAGCCTATGAATGTGGCAATCGATGGCATTCCCCCCAACAAGTCAGATGTTCCAGCTGATGACTTCACTCTTCTCAGGAAGGATGGCCTGATTCACAAACCTGGTACTAATTCACTTGTAGGCGGCACTGTAAATTGTAATCTCTCAAAAGACGGCCCCCAAGTCGCAGCTATGCCTGCTTTGAGACCGGGGCCAAATCCATTCCAAATAACTCCTGCTATGGCACAGGGAATCAATGCGGATATAAAACACCAGTTAATGAAGGAAGTTCGGAAGTTTGGACGAAGTAAGTAGTGCAAGAAGGTCTACTAATAAAAAATGTTTATTGTTTACGCTACGTTCAAGCCACCTCTTAAGAACATTTTTGAGGCAGAATTTGGTTTACATATAGAGGGGTTCTTCCATACATAAACAATAGACCCTTTTCTTTTTCCCTATGGGCTGTATTCGTTTCTATTGCTGCTATAACAAAGTACCACAAACTTCCTGGCTTTAAAACAACACAGATTTATTTTTCTTCCAGTTCTGGTAGTTATAATTCTGGATTCCTTGTCACTGGAGTACCATCAAGGTCTTTGCAGACCTGTGTTCCCTCTGAAAGTTATAAAGCAAAATCCATTTCCTTGCCTTTTTTTTAGCTTCTGGAGCCTCCCTAGATGCCCTGGCAGGAGAGTAAGTTACTAACTGTATTGGGCTACTAAGATGAGGCTCTCTCCTCCTGTAAAGATTTATAGCCTGGGAAATCCCAAGGGGGCAGTTCTACCCTGTCCACTCCGTGCTGTTGTGAGTTAGAATCCACTCAACCACAGCAAGTTTAAGTCCGTAGAGACGCCTTGACCCATGGCACCATTATCCTTCTTCAAGTCATCAATGCAGCATCTCTCTTCTCTCTGACCCCTGCTGCCATCCTTACAGTTTCTCTCTCATCCTCACTCTACTCTTGTAAGGATACTTGTGATGTAATTCTGGATTATCTCCCCTCTCAAGCGCATTAATTTAATTATATCTGCAAATTCCCCTTTCCCATATAAAGAAACATATGCATATGTTCCAGGGATTATGGACAGTTTTTAAGACCCATAATTCAGCCTCACATATTTGATTAGTGCTCATAAGAGTTTCCTTCATAGAGAAGTAATGATATCTTGACTTATGGGTCTAAAATTTAAATGATACCTAACTTTCCACCCATGAAGAATGCTGAGACTGCCTGAAAATGGAGCTCTGGTTCCCCTTTATAGTTTTAGCAATATTGAAGATTTTCTTTTTAATGCCTTCAGAATATGAAAGAATTTTCACTTTGCTTGAAGACGTTCAAGGACCTCTGGAAGTCAAGAAACAGTTTGTTGAATTTACCATCAAGGAAGCAGCAAGGTGAATGTCGAGAGAAACTCTCTATTTTTTAAGCAGTTGGAAACAGGTTGTATATTGTTTTGTTTTGTATTCCAAATCCTGGCCCTCATTTAGAGTTTATGCTGTTTCTGGCCACATTTAGATTTAGATCATACAAATCTAACTCCGACATCCAAGCCCCTGGTACCTTCTAGGCTCCCCATAGGTCCAGGAGACTTGAGCCCTTAATTGGCATTCTTGGCATTGGATAGACTTTTTCCTTCCCTGGGGGTCCCTAAGTTGTGCTAACATGCTTGGCTGCTAACCAGAAGGTTGCATCATTTTGAGTCCACCCAGAAAGTGCCTTAGAAGTGCTAGCAATCTACTTCTGAAAAAACAACCAGCCACCGGAAAGCCTATGGAGCACAGTTGAACTCTGACCCTCCTAGGGTGGCTCTGAGTCCGAATCAACGTCATAGCAATTTGTGGATCTTTTCATGAGGATGTCTTTTATATTGCCCTGTACCCTGCAGGTCTTTGCACATTATGGATGTTTTAAGGATCTTTGGGCTGCTGAAATGTTTTGTTTATTTTCAGGTTTAAAAGACGCGTTTTAATTCAGTACCTTGAAAAAGTACTCGAAAAAATTAACTCCCACTACCTTCTCCACAAAGTTCACCGCATCAACAACAGATCAGCATGTTATCGCAAAGATCAGTGAGGATCAAGGACCAGTCTTGTGTGCTCTCGAGCGGAACCACACGTTGCTGAAACTTCCCAGAGTGTGGCAGTCAAGGAAATGGTCGTCTGTGCAAAGACACTGAAGCTTTTTTTGTTTTATGATTCGACGTCAGTTAAAGTTAGGTTTTTGCCCAAAGACTTTTCTTGTGAGGCGTTGGCTTGGTTTCCATTTAAGGAGGGAGATGTCAAGTCAGTAAGCATTGTTGCCATGACCAAAGTGATAAGGGTTACTTCATTAGAACTTTGCCCCTCTGCACATTCCCAGAGTGACTAGGGGCCACTTGTCAGGGGAGTACTACTTGGTGCTCACACGATGTCCTTCAGAAGGAATGGGTGCACAGATTCCAACTGGTAACCTTGTGAATGCCAAACAAAGTTTTCAACAATTCCTACTTGTGCCTTTGAACCCACGAAAGATTCAGGATAGTTTGAATTGAAGTGTAAAGAAGCTGCTATGGGGGTTTTGTTAGACAAGAAGGGCATTCCTGTAACTTATTTCTCTGTGGGAGGGGGCAGGGGGACTCACAAAACAATCTACCTCCAACTCCCTTCTATTTTGATGAGAGACATTATGAAGTGCACTTGCGGCTGTTCGAAGCCCTGCCACCTGGCCTTTTTGCATGTAAAAAGGATGGAAAGTCTTCAGGCAGACTTGCACATTTTGTGCTTTGGAAGCACTGAAAGAAAAACGAATGTGTATTTTTTTCCTTTGATGTTTATACAAAGCTTTATATGGAACAGTTGTTTTTTATTAATTTGCAAAAAATTAACTAAACAAAAAGATTTTGATTTTGCATATATAAAATAAATTGCTTTATTGATTTTCACAAAGTTTGTTAATGCTGGAGAAATGACTAGTTAATGTCTTGCTCTTGGTTTGTTATTCCTTTCAGCGGCAGGTGGGGAGGGGAGTCCACAATTTTCTAAGAAAAAAAATGATATAAACCTAAAGATTTAAACTTCAAAACATCACTCATATAAGAAAGTGATATCAGTAGGGAACTTGGAGGTGCCCTGGTGGCATAAGGGTTGCATGTGGGGCAGCTAACAGCAAGGTCAGCGGTTCAAAAAATACCATCAGTTCCTCAATAGATAAACAGGACTTTCTACTTTCATAAAGAGATACAGTCTTGGACTCCCACAGAGACAGTTCTACCCTACCCTGTAGGATCACTAGGAGTCAAAATCCACTCGATGGCAGTGAGTATAGAGAGGAAACTCTGGGAAGTAGTCCCTCCTCAGAAACACTGGAAAACATGTCAGCATCAACTTTCTCCAATCTCTGGAAGATAGCCAAAGAGTACAACCATCAAATGAACACTAAATCAAGAGAAAAGCCATTAAAATATTTTAGGAGAACCTTGTGACCCTTTAACGTACCCTTAAAACACCACAACCTCTCCAGCTTGGCCGTAGTCTTGAAGCTGACAACTTTCATTCTGAGTGTAGGTTATTATGCAGGGAGGGAGCAGAAATGAGCTTGCTCCCCCCCCCCCAACAAAATTGTATTTGTCTGTTTTGACCTGCCTAGGGATCCCTGAAGGATGTAAAGGGGTTTGCCTTTGCATCAACTCTCCGAGCTGAAAAGCAGCTATGTGTAGGATGTTCGTCAGAGACTTTGAAAGGCAAATGAACATGTTTCTGCCACCTGAGACAAAGAATCAAAAAGTCAAAAGCTTAGGAGGAAAAAAAAACTGCAATGGAAAATTCTTTGGAGGAATCGGCACTTTGAAAAGGTCCCCCATTAGAAAATCATACACGTGTCTATAATGTAGTCATAAGTGACTACAGAGGTTTTCTCCGCCGGCTAATCTTTAAGCTCAGAACAAGTGGGAAGCAAAAGCTAGGTAGAATTGCAAACAGCACGGCTAATCATTGGAGAAGTTCAACATAGAGTCAATCTCAGAGTAGCTGGGGAGTCTTTCTTCTTCCTCTCTTGGCACTTGGCACTAAATATTAAGGAAATCTCTGTTGAACTACTAGCTGTCCACTAAGCTACGATACAAAGAAACTGTATTCTTGGTCAGTCAAACAATACAGTCTACAAAAAAACTTTTCAAAAAGAAGGTAAAACAACAAGCAATTAAAACCCACACCAAGAGACAACAACAAAGACCGTGTAGGGGGCATCATCTGATTCCCAGAGTTACTGCATATCCAAAGTATCCTATTTCAACAAGACATTATGAAATATGTTAAGAAGTAATATAGTCCATTAGCAGGAAAATAATACTTTTATTAAAAGAAACTGAATTAAGTCAAGATTTACAGAGCAAATCTTAGTTTGACAATCAACAATTCATACACATTCTCATTCAGCTCATCATTGAATCCCCTTCAATGCACCCTCACTTAGCCCACTTCCTCCCTATGTTTCCTGTTTTCATTCCCTCTCTCCTAACTCTGGGGACTTTGTCACTGGGTAAATTCTGCCCTTTGGATCTTAAATGGCTGATAATGCAAACAGAGATGAGTTTAGTTTCAGACCCCAAGGGTGACTAAGGAGTCCCACTAGTTTCTTTTTTTAATTTTAATTTATTTTTAAGATCATTTTATTGGGGCTCATAACAATCCCATACATCAATTGTATCAAGCATATTTGTACATATGTTGCCCTCATTATGTTCTAAACATTTACTTTCCTTTTGAGCCCATGGTATCAGCTCTCCCCCCTCCCCATGACCCCTTGATAAATTATAAATTATTGTTATTTTCATATCTTACACCAACTGCTGTCTCCCTTCTCCCATGGTTTCTGTTGTTCTCCCCCCACCCCCCCACCGGAGGGAGCGGTTTTGTTATGCGTTAATCATTGCAATTCTTCCTTCCCTCCTTCAGCCTACCCTACCTCCTGGTATCCCTACTCCCATTTCCGTTCCTGAGGGATTTATCTGACATGGATTCCATGTGTCGTGAGCTCTTATCTGTACCTGTTCACATGCTCAGGCCAAGCCCAAAGTGGAAGGCAGGACTGGAGTCATGATGGGGGGGTGAGGAAGCCTCAAGGAACCAGAGGAATATTGTGTGTTTCATCACTGCTATACTGCGCCCTGGTTGACTCATCCCTTCCTTGTGACCTTTCTGTGAGGGGACATCCCATTGTCTACAGATGATTTTTGGGTTTCTGCTCCAACCAGCCTCATTCTCAACAATAAATTTCTGTTTGTTTGTTTGATTTTGGTCTTGATTCCTGTTACCCGGTCCCGGCAACACCTCAGGATCACACAGGCTGCTGTGCTTCTTCTATATGGGCTTGTTGCTTCTCTGCTAGATGACCGCTGACCCCAGACACTATATTTTTGATAGCCAGGCATCATCTGCTTTCTTCACCACATTTGCTTGTGCTCCCATTTTGTCTTCAGCAATCCTGCCAGGAGGGTGAGCATCACAGAATGCCAGATTGTTAGAACAAAGTGTTCTTGGGTTGAGGGAGGGCTTGAGCAGAGGCCCAAAGTCCATCCACTATCTCAATGTCTTGCCGTATAAATATATATATATATAGGTCAATACCTCTATTTTTATGAATGAATAAATTTACATATGTACACACCTAAGTTTATACCTCTATCTGTAGCTTTGCTTCCTAGATCTTTCCTCTGTTTCCTTTTACCTTCCTCCTGCCCCATCTTCACACTCTCCCTTCTTCGGCCTCTTAGTGATTCCTCACAGCAAGATTGCTATGGATCCCACTAGTTTCTGTCCATCCAAGAAGTGTGGTCTCTTCTATGATTTTTGAGCTCTGTCCCATATTTTCCTCCCACTCTATACACGACCCTCTAATATGATCGTTTTTAGAGCCATTGGTAGTGCTGGCCGATCGCCACCTAGTTCTTCTGGTCTCAGGGTTGTGGAAATTTATATTTGTGTGGTTCATTAGTCCATTAGACTAATCATTTTCATCTTTCAATTTTCATCACTCTGCTTTCCGTGAACTGAGGTGAGGCCAATAGTTGCATCTTAGATGACTGTTCATTAGATCAAGTAGGGTATAGAACATTGTCTTTGTAAACAACATTATGGCACTTGACCTTGGTGTCCCGAGACTATGGTCCTGAGGCCTCAGACCCGGTGTATGGTTCCTTCCAGCTGTTTGCTTATGCCTAAAAATTCACAATTAAAAGTATTTTAAAAAAATAAAAATTAAGGTAATGTGATGACATACCTCATACTCATAGAAAAAAATTTACCAACCAAAAACAAAAGATCAGTCAAAGTTGTTTCTCACATACAACGATGACATTAGGACATTCCGGATAAACAGAAATTAAAGGAATTAAAGCTGGAGCAACTTTATGGGAATTGTTAAAGAGACTCCTTCTGGCAGAGGACCAACAATGGCGAACAATAACCTAAGATAAAGACACAGGACATAACCCGGAATTTAACCCAAACATAAACAGACCCGAGCAGCATGGAGGTGATGAATAATAGCTCTTCAGATCTGCAATAAAAATGGCCTCCAATAAAATGATAAAGCACAAAGGGTGAAAGAAACCGAATGGAAAGACTCCAAAATTCCGAGAGGCTGACTGGGAAGAATGGGTGGTAGAAAATGTACTGGGTGGAAAATGTATTGTGAATGGGAAGGTGGAATATTTCCTAAAATGGAAGGGGTTTACCGATGCTGAAAGCACTTGGGAACCGGAAGACCATTTAGGTGGTCCAGAATTAATGGAAGCATTTCTCAGTTCTCCAAAAGCTGGTACAGAAAGAGATGGCACCAAAAGGAAGTCTTTATCTGACCGTGAATCTGAGGAGAGCAAATCCAAGCAGAAGAGATGCTGCGGACAACCCGAGGGGCCTTGCCCGAGGCTGTGGTCCTGACCGAGTGATGGGGCCCCGCCAGCCGCCAGCTGGGAGGCAGTTCATGTGGCCCGGGAAATGGAAAGCGTCCCAGGAGGCAGGCTTGGTGCTGGCCAAAGAGGCAAACATGAATTTATATATATATATTTGGGTCTTGGATTTGAGTGTGTGTGTGTGTGTGTGTTTGCTTTGAATTACTAGTGTGAAAAATAACTACATTCTAATGGGAGTCAAGTTTGATATGTGTGCTTTGAAGTAGTGTTAGGGAGTTATTGGGGGTATTTTTTTGTTGCACCAATAGCACTGGTTACTTGTAACAACTAAACTTTCTGTAGTTGCTTTAGGAAGGAAGGCAGGAAGAAGACCACTGCAATCGAGTCCATTTGGACCCATAGTGCCCCAGTAGGACAGAGGAAAACTTAGGGTTTCCGAAGCTGTAAATTTTTTTTTTAAGTCATTTTATTGGGAGCTTGTACAACTCTTTTAGCACAATCCATACATCGATTGAATCAGGCATGTTTGTACATATGTTGCCTTCATTCTTTTCTAGACATTTACTTTCTTTTTTTAAATCATTTTATTGGGGGCTCGTACAACTCATCACAATCCATACATCCATCTATTGTGTCAAACACATTTGTACATTTGTTGCCATCATCATTCTAAAAACGTTTTCTTTCTACTCGAGCCCTTGGTATCAGCTCCTTATTTTTCCCCTCCCTCCCCGCCCCACCTCCCTCACGAACTCTTGACAATTTATAAATTATTATTATTTTGTCATGTCTTACATTGTCCAACGTCTCCCTTCACCCGCTTTTCTATTGTCCATCCCCCAGGGAGAAGGTTATACATAGATCCTTGTGATGGTTCCCCTTTCTGCCCCACCTTTACTTTCTGTTGAGCCCTTGGTATAAGCTCTTTTTCTCCCCC